TTAGGGATATTCAAACTATATTTTATCTTGTCAACAATGAATTTTTTGCGTTGTTTATCTAAAAGTTCTTTATTTGGATATTGGAGGGCATTGTCATCATACCCACAMGTGCAGAATGGGTGCATTTGCACTCTTGGTTTCTTCAATATTCGTGCATCTAGTACACACAGAGGACGTTTGCGCAGTAGTAGCTCTATAAGAGCTTTTCACCGGACATATRCTAAAACTTGTGGCCTTGACTCTGCATCTCGCGATGTCTCCAAAAAGAACAGCAAGAAATCCCTGTTTGCATCATCTGTCAACAGATATATGCACGACTCCAGTGCAGAACCCTTACAGGAGGACCATACAAACCCTTTGAAAAAAAACAAGAGAAATAAAGAACTGAAGAAATTTGGCCCTTATGAGTATGAGTTTGATACCAATGGCTACATGTCCATCGGCYATCTTGTTAAGTTCTTACAGCAAGAAGCAGGCTTTGACATTTGCGTGATTCAAACATCAGGAGCTCAGCGGGCATATGTGGATTACTTTGTGGTCGTTAGTGGAGTGTCAAAGAGACAYATCCATGCAATGGCCAAAAACCTTGAGCAACTGGTAAATGATTAAATTGAGTGATCTAAAGTTTGGTAATTGGCATAATAAAAATACTATAATAATTCTTAAGTTAATGTTTTTCTATAGAAGTTTTTTTCTGTGGAGCTTGCATAGACCTTTTCTGAAATACAAAATCATGGTGCATTGTGGTCTAGCTTCAGCACAAACAATGCCATATTTTGCAGCATGAACCGAAGATGTTTGTATCAAAACTAGACCACAATGCAATGGAAACAGCCATCTTAGAAAGGGCCCATAGGCAAAGCCATATACAAAGCCATATAGACACTCATGAATATTGAAATCCCTTTCATAGTAGTAATACAATGATCAACAACATATTAAAAGAAATGCTAGAGTATACTAGAGCACTAGAGAATACTAGAATTCCTAGTACTCRGCTTTTTCTCTGAAATAGCAGCTCTATAATAGAATGCAATATTACAAGAAACCAGGGCAACTCAAATGCAATGTGTGATCCCAGGTTCAAAAGTCCCATGTAATGTAATGCGATACATGTGATATCATCTTGTATTTGTGTTTGTTTTATAGTTCAGAGGGCAAGATGTAAGAGGTGTYGGTAAAGATGGTCATGTGTCTGTAGAGGGTCTTGGTAGTGATAGTTGGTTGGCATTAGATATTGGTAAGGATTGTTAAAAGCACAAGCAAGGCAGAATCAGGCAACAACTAAAAAATAGTCCTTTTTTGAACTTTATCGTTTTGCAATGACACAAAAATAATTTTTGTTGGTCAAAAATGTTAATATTTTGACATGATTTGGCACTGAGGACTGAAGCAAAATGTTGCCCGATTTTGTCTTGCTTTGGTTGTAATCACAAAAAGGGCTATTGACATGACYGTTATGAATAAAATATTTTCATATAATAATTTGAAAATAGGAAATATGGTAGTACACTTCTTTCTCCCTGAAGCACGAGCYATTTATGAACTCGAGAAGCTATGGAGCCTGGGTCCTAAGTATGACGACCAGTACAAGGCATTGTTRGTGGAAGAAAACTTCTTGAAAGCTGTGTTTATTGGTGAACAAAGGGAAGACCAAAATGAAGGTAGTCTTTGCTGCATTGCTTTAARTTCATTTATTGATTATCATAAATCAGGATTTTCAACTGCAGAATTGTTAAACAGGCTAACTAAGATTTTAATTAAATTTTTTAAGCTAAGATATTTTATTATTTACAAACTTTTGTAAAATAAATGAATTACAATAATGGCAAGAGATCTTGTCAGCACTAAAAATGTTGTCAACTTTCCCTTACAAAACTACACAATGTCTGGAAATGAAGTTCCAAATTGTCTGCATTTAGTTCTTAAAATCGGTATTTTGCACAACTTTTCTTTAATTGTTAAATAGTCCTATTACCATGGAATTACAAGACACACTAACTATTGTTCACTAAGCTGTTTTGCTCTTTCAATGGCTGATTCTACGGCATCCATGAGAGTTGCTCTTACACCAGCCTTTTCCAGAGCATGTACGGCATAAATAGTAGAACCTTGAGGAGAGCAAACTGCATCTTTCAGTTCACCTGGGTGTTTTCCAGACTCTAATACCAATCTTGCACTTCCCTGATCGAAACATGTTTATTAGAATAAGATCTAGATATCACTCAGTACCTAGGTCAGGTCGCAGGGGCAAAGAACATTGCTGGTACCTCTGCAGTACCTTGGTTTGACTCTGGTTTGCGCTATCGTATTGCCTTCTATAATTGGTGCTATTTTGTCAAACTCAAAATAGCACTTTCACAATGCCATTCTGTTAAAATGCATTCAATGATAACTCTAAAGCCAAACGGTTGCTTGATTGATTTTAATTATAATCATTTTTGCTCTAACCTACCTCTACAGTATGAGCTGCTAACTTCAACGCCTGTTGTCTTGACAGTCCAGCCTTTACCCCACCATCAGCAAGAGCTTCAATTGCCATGAAACACTAGTTTAAATAATAAATAATAGAGTCATTCAATGTATGAAACATCTTGAAATATCCAGCATCTCATCTTTGCTAAACAGAAGCTGTTTCACTTACATATGCTGGTCCTGATCCACTTAATCCCGTTACTGCAGCAACGTCCTTCTCTTGGACCTCTTCTACATATCCTACCGCAGACATGATTTCTTTCACTATATCTCTGTCTCTCTCGGTCACATGATTACCCAATGCAAAGGCTGATGCCCCTTGTCGTATCAGCGTTGGTATGTTTGGCATGACACGAACGACTCGACTTTTCCATGGCAGACACTGAAGATTAAAAACACTTTTTCAATCTTTTAGTTGGGCAATAATTATTTTTGTATTGAGATGGTAATAAATGTTGGTGTGTTTGGCATGACACGAATAACTCGACTTTTCCATGGCAAACACTGAAGATTAAAAGCACCTTTTTCAGTCTGTTAGTTGGGCAATAATTATTTTTGTATTGAGATGGTAATAAATGTTGGTGTGTTTGGCATGACACGAATAACTCGACTTTTCCATGGCAAACACTGAAGATTAAAAGCACCTTTTTCAGTCTGTTAGTTGGGCAATAATTATTTTTGTATTGAGATGGTAATAAATGTTGGTGTGTTTGGCATGATGCAAACAACATGACTTTTCAATAGCAGACCCTAAGGCACTTTCATCAATACTGATAGAGTATGCTGGGGAGAACTTCCTCACTCCCCCTGGACTTCCTTATGCAAGAAAGTGGGAATGCAGTAAAAGGACATTGATGGACATTGCAGTGATAAAATTTTCCTTGTAAATGAACTGGTTAAAATTCACCCAAGGCTAGCTGAAGTACTTTTGTTGATAATATTACTAAAAGGGTCCACTTAGTTGAAGGGCATTCTCATTCCTTCACACATCAAGTGCAGCTATGATACTGATTTTAAAACCTCCATCCTCTTCTAAAGGGAATCCACCTCAAAAAGAAATCAAGCTAACCTTCTCCATTATTCCAAGTGGAACTCCAGCAGCTACAGATACAATTAGGTTTTCTGGAGTGACAATTGGGGAAACTTGTTGGAGAACTGTTTGCACAACATTGGGTTTCACAGCTACTACTACAATCTCTCTCTGTTCCACAACCTCATAATTGTTATTGGTGACTTCAACACCAAGGCTCTGAAAGAATCAATTTGAATGATATTTTGTTTGAGCTTGAAGATTAGATTACTTTGAATGCAATGAGTACATCTTTAATTCTTTTGCAGTGTATGGTTTATTATTTACCACAATTGCTCCATTTGAAACAAAGCAGATA